TAACCTCACAAGTCCCAAGCACAGAATACTGAAATAACAGGGAAGCAAGCTGACCATTTGACCAAACTTCTTTCATTTTTTATTTCAAAATGGCAATTTAAAGAATTGCACACTCTGCCCAGTAGAAGCTGCTGTTTAAAATCAGGTTATTGAATGAAGATAAACTGAGGCATATACTGATTTAAACTCAGAGTTTAAGTATAGTTCACAAAATCAAAGTTTGCTAACATTGTTCTATTATATTTATGCTGTGTAAATCCAACCTAGTCAGCCAAGCCTCCCACAATCAGTAAGGTTTGCTGTGATGATATGTGATGCTTATATACTTCAGGTAACAACCTCTGTTTAAATGATCAGAATGAAAGCAACGGCTCCAAACAGGCTCCACAAAACTACAAGCTATAACAACAGAAATCTTCTTTCTTCATCCAAAATAACTGCATGACTGTGACCAATTTCATAATGATGAAATTCACTTTCATCTGCAAATGGGAATTTAGAGACAGACAGTGGTCGTTCTTACAGTCTTACTGAGACAGAGCTGTTCCTGGTGCACTTCTAGGAAAGCTCACCCTGCTATAGCAGGGATAAACATGGCCATGAACCAGGCGTGAAAATGTGTGAAAAATAGTTCTTGTGTACAAGCAAATTCACCTAGAAATTAGAAATATTTATTTCATACACTATAGTTTTAAATGACAGTATTCTTGTTCTAACGTAGTTATAGCAAAATTCATATAGACCTTCCGCCCCTTCCCAGATACACCTAAAACCAGAAAATAAAACTACGGTTCTGCAGGAAGTTTGACTTCACTTTGGATTGTGACACACTGACTTACTGGATTTACTCCAAATGTTAAAAAATCTTACATTGTTAGACTTGGAAACTCTGGACTTTTCTTTTTAGAATAGATAGCACTCTAGTCTAAACTAGAAACTAGACAGACAAAACCAAATACCCTGTTTTTCTTCTAAAATTAGTTTACATGTAACCTTGTCAAACCTTTTTGGTTTTGACCTGAACACAATTCTGGTTACATTGATGTGATTTCATAAAGCACTTTAACTCCAAGAATCCTGCATATAATCAGCTCTTCCTTTCCTATGGGTGAATTGCTCAATCTGCAGATTAAACCAGATTCTGCCACCTCCCAGAACACCCCTTGCTGCTGAGGAAGTAACAGAGTATGTGCTATACTGCCTGGCCTTATTTATCGTTTGATAGCCTACAGGGTTTTAAATCAGAAACTTAATGTATATTATCCTTATAACCTGACACCTATATGATGGGGTTTGCCTTATGTGCACGTCTCCCCCCTAACCCTCTAACCCTCTTAATTTCCAAAGGTAACTGAAAGTGAATTACAATCAGCCAGTACAATTTTTCCAAGTGACTGAGTTCACTGACAGACACTGCTTGAACATTCGCTTTTGTTCTCAAGTATCTTCTTACTAAAGATGCCTCTATAAATAAAGTGTTTTATTAGCAGGCACAGAATTACTTTAGCGACCTTTTGGGGTTTTGTGTGATCTTATCTTGTAGTCTTTCATTTTCATTTAAACAAATGTTAAACGTTGTGGCTGAGATTATTAAAAGAAGCGTTATGTAGGCTACAGGAAACAAATGTGTGATTGTTTTCAGCCTCTTCCTCAAGCATCATTCATTTGTACTACTTTTTTGGTTCAATTACTAATAGACACTGATGCTGGGGCCATAACAGCACACTCACTGCAACCCAAAAGTACTATTTTTGTACAGTCTGACAGGCCTGCAGTGTTCCTGTGGCCTTTGCACAAACAGCTTCATGTCTAACTTAAATGATATTAGTGTGTGCAGTTAGTGCCAGTGTGGCAATACATAGCCACTTGTACACTTAGGGAGATGACAGAAGCGGCCCATATTGATACACCTAATGAACAACTGTCCACCTCCAAAGTTTCGATGTAGCTTTTAAACCAAGGATGCATAAAGCATTACCAAGGTGTATAAATGCAGAGAAGAAGGATTTCTGCATCTTCTCCAGAATACCAAGGAAAAGCAGCTCTATCATGAGTACTGATGCAAAACACATGTTGGGTCAAATAGAAGGAAAAGTCTTCTTGGGACAGTTCTCAAAAGCTGGGGTTCTATTTGCATAACAGATCAGATAATGTGCAAGACCTGCCGACTCTCATTTCTGTCATCAAACAGGAAACAGAAATAGCAGAATGTGACTTGTGGCCAATCATGTGACAAAAAACTGAACAACATGAACCTCCTGGACTGTCTATGGAAAAATCACAGGGCACTGTTTGTTTGCACAAGCTATTTGATGAATCATTGTGAACAAATAGACTTGTATCAGGTGATTTAAAACCAAAAAAGGGTTAAATTAGATTATTCATGATGACTGCGATCAAATCTAAGTGGCTTATTTTATCTAATTCCACAAAGTTTTATCTAAACAGACTATCCAATGCCTAGGTTCAAGGCTTTTAAGAATTTTGTGATAAAGTGAGCCACACTGAGTAATATTTTGGGTGAAGAAGAAGAAAGTTTTGACCCTCTTGCAGTTTAGATTTGGGTTGCTTGTTTTATTCTGCCTAGTCTGCTCATTCCAAACCCAAACCAGACTCTCACTGATGTTATAAATGCTGCTTGCCCTACTCCAGACACTGTGAATCTCTTTTTCTTTCTAAGCACACTAATACTCAAACATCTTCTTTGTGGAAACAAAACCAGCAGTTTCTCTTTCTATAACTATCTCTGACACAGATAGCACCAACGGCTTCTGGCACAAACAGGCAGGAGCTTTCAGATAGGTTATCTGTCACTGAACACAGGCTGAGTATAGAACCCCAAATCTTCCTGGACATATAGGGTTCCAGAATTAGGGTTTATGGCTCGATTCCGTTGTCACTTGGTAGCTTTAAAGAAGGAACCACTGTTCCTGCTTCACAGAATAAATCATCCTGCAAAATATTGATTGCTCAGTTCCAATAAACCACTCTGTACCTTGCAAACTGTATTCTTGGCTGTTCTTGGTGGATCATTCTTCTTTCAGTACTCTCTTTCTCCGTCTCTCTCTCCCCCTCCAGAGTTTTATTGACAAGCCTAAAATAAGTGATTCCTCAGAGAACAGACATGCTCTTTCTAAGAACACAGATATCTCTGAAGAAAATCTGCGCCAAGATGTTCAAAAAAGCATTGCTGCATGTGGGAAGTTGCATTTCACAAGCCTCTCACGACACTGCCTCCCTTATGCAAGCCAATAAAACAGGGCATAGCCCCTCAGAGGCAAGCACTGCATTTATTTGGCCTTTAAGCTTTGATAGAGTATTAGCTGCTGTGTGATCCTTATTAGAAGGAAGGAAACACTACTTAGTTTGTCAGGCAGTAGCAGACGCAAAGTAGTGTGGGTGAGGCTTTTGCTTTGTTACTCCTAGCATGTTCTGACAGCCCTACAAACAAACATCGGACCATACACTGTGTATCAGTGTATAATGTGCATTTGATCCCACTTTTTATTTCAAGCTTTCATTCACTACAATGGGGTTATGGTCAGAAAAGAACTATTGAAAACATGCCCATCTTCACTATGTTCCTTACTGTCTCAATCACAACTTTTATTGTATCTGCTTGTACTATGCAGATACACGAACACTGAGAGGGAAGCATATAAACTAGATTTATGCTGGTTGCCCAGATTGACCCTGGTGACACTCCCCATTTTATATAATAAATAAATACCTCCCAGAGGAGGAAAATCTGGAAGTGGCTTATAGCTGAACCTTAAACCACAGGCAGGTCTCTGTCCCCACTCAGCTGCTCATTGCTGCCACCTCAGAATTTACTGGCAATCTGCTTTTTATGACTGTGCCTGGCTCATTTGGCCTGGAACCAGTGAACTTGAATACAAAAGTGAGCAGGTTTCTGCCAGACTGGCTCCTATTGCCTGTGGTGGGCTTAGAACCAATCCCATAAGCAACTTTTGGCCCCCTGACTGGGCATGGGGCAGCAATTCTTCAGCCTCAGCTAGGTGAACACATGTATCTGTGGCCCTCTTGCCCACGGGCAAACATCATCCTGCAGTGGAGGCAGAGTGTGTCCATCCTGAACACTGCTCCATACTCCCCAAGCACCCTAAAAACTCAGAGCTCTGGCCTCTGCCACCTCTTCCTCTCCAAGAGGATGACTGACTGACAGGCATGGCACTGCTGATGCAAAGTAAAGCTAAGCAGGTTATCCCAGCCTTCCTTATGCTGGTCAAAGCTATAGGGAAACGTTATACTCTTTACTAGGCCAAATGGCAAATTATTTTTATCCTTCTCCTTCCAGACTTGTTAAAAAGAATAAATAAAAATCCTTCTGGCCCTGGTAATGACCTTTGTCCATTATAGGATTCAAATGCATGCAGAGTAGGAAATATATACACCAAACTTTCATCCAGGGACGAAAACACAGCAGATGTAAGCACAAGGACCTCAAATTAAATGCAGGTTTTCTTGCCCTATTATCTAGGTATCTGCCCTCTTCCAATAACTTCCCTTTTAACCTGGGAGTTACAGTTCAAGGGTAAACTGTTAATTGCTTCAGCCAAAAGGCTTAAATGCTTATTCTTATCGCCACAGAAATCTCAGTGCAGTGATGTGCCTGTCAGAACCGACTGAAGAACCTGAACATTTGCCTCATTTACACAAAAATTTGATCTGGATCCATGACTCATATCTTCCTGAACCAGAATGCTGACACCAAATACCAGGAACTTCAGATACCCCTTCGAGTAGGGCCCATCCTTTATCTTTAAAGAGAGAGTTCAGAACACACTTTTTCCGTTATTAAACTGAAATGTGCATTAGTCAGTTTTAGAAAGAGTTTCACCATTTTCAGTCTCAGGAAATATCATAACTCCTAAGAGCTGCAGCCGCAAACTAGAATCCTGGTGCGTGAACTATTGTACAAAACGACCAAGATACTTTCCAAAGACAATGCCTTCTCCTATTTATAATGAAACTAGGAAATTAAAAGTTTTCCTTTATCCTAGAGGAGGGTAACTGCTAATGCGCATTCTATAAGGGCCCTGCTGAGTGTGCTTTTAAACCCAGATGAATTTGCACTAGAAATATTACCGGAAATGCTGGCAAATTATTTTTTAGCTTAGGGCAGGGACTGTGAACACTCTGGACTGGTGCAGACTGTGGGATAAGAATACTTCCTTTTAAAAGCAACTGATCTGCAGCGGCTGTTCTGCTGAGGTTACACAGATGACAGTTAAGGATCCCAGTCATCCCAGTCTACGCAAGGTTTTCTCTGTAATAACTCAGCTGTCTGCCCAAGCTCAGCCTCTTGTGACAGGTATGACTGCACTCCTATTTTACTCATGCAGTTATGATTGCATACAGTATTTAATTAATTACATACATAACTAGGCAATTATGGATCTCACAAAGCAGTTATACTGTTATCTGACTTTTACATGAACTGAAAGCACAGAACTGGCTGTACAACTGTATATATATGGCAGATGTAAATCACAAATCAGTTGGCTTTGCTTAACTGTGTGCAATTTTAAGCCATCAACCCCAGTTATATTTTGTATGAGGCATTCTTTAGTTACTTCTGTTAGGTAACAGCTTTCCTGATTGGATGACAGTGTTAGGAGGGAAAGGTTTACAGTAAGAAGTTTCATAGGTCTCAAGCAAAAACTGAAAGTTGCTTTCTGAGAAGGATATGGCAAGAGTAAACAGCACAGTTTTTTCTTCAAAGCACTGTGGTAAAGTACACAGGTAAGCATGTTTCCTCTCCAACAGCCATCTGGCCCACCACAGGCTTTGTCCCTCTCTCACCATTAGCATTGTTTTTATTTCATTCTTAACATGGACAAGGCAGTAAGAGAAGAACAATAATACATTCACAATAGCACAAGAAGTGACTTCCGTGTTATGGTGCCGACCAAATCTCTCTTGACCTTTTTGTTTCTTCTGCATTTGAAAGACAAAGAGAGAATGGAGTGGGGAATATGGCTTTTCATATACATAAGGCCCTTATTCTCCTTTATCTTCTCTCTTTTTAATTTAAAAGCACTTCTGTGGCACTTGCTTAACATTCATGTCACCCACCCTGTGCACAGATAAATTTTTGGACAGAAAAGAAATAATACTGTGCCTAAAGCACATTAGGTTTTTTGCAAGGCAGCAGATGAAGAAGCCTTGCAAAGCTCTCTCACTTCCCCGTTATCATCCCCCCTCTCCCATTCAGTGACACTCCATCACTTTTGTCTGCCCCACTCCCACATTCACACACCCTACATCACCTTTTAATCAGTGGGATCCCAGAAAAGGTACCAAATGAAACCCCATCTGCAGTAACACCCTCAGCAGTGATGAGCAGGGGCTCTCCTGAGCCAAACATTACTAATTAAACCACACTGCGGCATCCTTACACTCTTTGTGCAGGAGGGTGGGATTAACAGGAAACCTGAACAGAGATTACTGGGAGCAACATCCACTTTGAGCTGTAAATCCTGGAAAAACGAGTAGCCAGCAGCAGAATCAGGGAGGTTTGGAGGTGAGCAGTTGTCCTGTGCTCAGCACTAAGCTGTGCTTAGGATAAGGCACCATTTCGCTGAGGCTGCAGAAGCATTATTTACCCAGAGCACTGCTGTGAAGAAATTGCTCTCAAAACATTTTTGTTTTGAGACTTTCATTAGCCTCCCTCCATGATCAGAAAGATCCCCCTAAAGAAAACAGACGACTTGGAGCTCACTAGAATTGTGTGTGTGTCCAGTGCAGAGACATTCCCGTCCCACCAGCACCTTTAGGCACCACTCTCCACTCCCTGGTTTCTGTGTATGTTTTGATTATGTAGATTGGGGGGGGTTGGTTTGTTTGGGTTGCTTTTGTTGTTTTTGTGTTTGTTTTTTTTTTTTCTCCAGGTTTCTGTGAATGGGACGATGGGAAAAAACCAAAACAAACCAAACCAAAAAAAAAACCAAAAAAGAAAACCCAAACCTGCAAGCGCAACTGCTTGAATAGTTTTAGCGATTGAAATATCCGAGAACCTAAGTCCAAGTGCCCTCTACTGGCATTAGAGAGGCAGATGTGGCTGGGCGAGGAGGAGGCGTTGCAGAAGGAGGAGGGAAGTGATATTAAGCAATAGTAAAAGGAAGCTGTGTCAATAAAGTGGGTACGGCCTGAAAACTATAATCGCACAGCAGAGCTATTAAACTGTTGGCAGGCTGGGTTGTTAGTGTAATGTACAGTACATGCCAAAAAGCATATTACTGGCATGAAAGAACTAACAAGCCAGGATGTTGAAACAACTTCTGTTTTAGGGATGGGGAAGGGGAGATAATGAAACTCTTTAATGTAAGATTATGTCTGTACTCCTGGTACAGAAGATGTCTTTTTTACTTTAATTATTCTTGGCTTTTAAATTTCATACTGAAAAAAAAATGGAGTTAAGGAAGAAAACCTTTCGGTTCTTTTAGTACTTAATGTCTTTATTTTAAAGCTGAGAAAACCAGTTGTGCAACACTGACATTATCACATGAATCTAGTCCTGGAAGAAATTATATCATGTGTGCTTATGGGAACTTAATCCAGGAGGTCCCAGGAATGCTGGGATTGTATGTGTGTACATGCACGCACACACACACTGACAAAACAGTTCATGGAAAATCTGTTTCAGACAGTCATTTTTGGATAGAACAACTCATTCTTGCCCTGCAAGGAAAGCAGTGTGTACAGTTTTATTGGTACCACTGTGCTGACATTTAGTGAATTTGCAAGATCAAGAAGTACTTTGTAGTGTACACTTGTAGGGCGTACAGATTTTACTGGGCTCAGTAATCCACAGGATCTTATCGACTGCCTCAATAAAAGTTGAAACAACCCTAACGTTATTGCAGACAAACAGATTAACTGCAGTAGAACGGGAGGGCTACTTAAGAAAAGAGACTTTAACAGAAATTCAAGTGCAAACTCTGGTAAACCAATGGTTAAAAATATATGTAATTCTGGGAAAGTGCTTTTCAAATCCTGTAATAAGAGCAGTGACTTTTTTACTGAAGAGAGCATGTCAAGAATGGAGAGTCATGCAGCATTCACAAGACACAAAGGCGCTGGGGTAGCAAGCCCAGAACAGGAGAGCTGGACGGAGATGGGATTCAGCTGCCGCATGAGGAAGCAACTTGGGGAAGTGACAATTTTGTCTGTTTTTCTGCCAGGAAGGCAGGGGAGGAGCCTGCTCTGTACAGGCTGAATAAAGCTGGATGGGATTGCGATTACTCACTGGAAGATTGATGTGACTATTCCAAATATGTGTACAGTGTCCTTTTCCCCCTGCTGTGTCCAGAATCTGTTTCAGAAATGCCATATTCCAAGTGTTTCAGTAAGTAGCTGCAATATTTACCCCACTGGGAGAGGACGAGCGCCACTCCAGATTTGCAGCATTGCCTGTTCTGTATTCTGTGATTCTGCTAAATTCACTTTAGGTAAACCTAATGTATACCAATTTAATTAGAGTACAAGCAATTCAGTTTTTGACATCTATATTATGCTAGCACAAGTTTAAACACACCAGAAATGGTGCCAAGGCCTTGTGTGAAATAAGGTTCATGCATTGTACTTTCTCCCACAAAACAAACCAAAAAATAATGTATTATGCTTTTGTTAGACTGGAACTTGAGGTAAGATCTAGTTCCCAATATGACCACCAGATCAGTCACACAATATCAGCCTAAAAAACCTTAAAATCCTGGTCACCTTTCTGATACAAACATAAATAAAGACAAAATTTCTCCTGCTAGCCAGTTAGCTTAGGATCTCTTTCTGTATGAAACACATGTTGATATTTGATTACTCCCTTTAATAGTGTCCATCTGTGGAAAGGGCTGCAGTGCCAATACACAAAGCAGTAATCTTATTTTCATACCAAAGATTGTTTTATCTGCTCCATCTTTAACATTTTACTGCTGAGAACAGGTTGTGCATATGGTTCTGCAGCAGCTTGTTTGCAGTCCATTTCATTGTGAGCACCTCCCTTTTCACACCTTCCCTTTTCCACCTGAGCTGATGCTTTACAAAGTGCAGCAACATTCGCTTTTATATAGTGCTCATCATCTGGCCCCAGTCTAAACCTCCTTGCAGGCCGGATATTAAATCATAAACATCTCAGGACTAGTTCTGATAATAAAAGTTAAATATCCCACCAAATGCAACAGGAAAGAAAAAAAAAAAGGAAAAAAAAAGGGAAGAAAAAGTCTATTTTGCCCAAGTGTGGACATATCTCACTTGAACAATAACCACATGTGAAACAGGGCTATGGCGAGGCTGGAAATATTGTCCCCTGGAGAGAGTTACCAAACCTGCCTTGTAGAAGAATGTCTTGGGGGTAATATACACTGGGAAATGTGAAATTAAATACATACATGTAGCTGTCTTTACATGTGATCCTTGCATACTATAATGAGAAGAGCCTGGCTTGTCCCTGCACTTTTCAGGGTCTTCTACTTGGCACGGAAGTCCCAGGTTCTGCAAGTTTCCAGGAGCAGCTCTTCATTTTGGCTCTTCTAAGAGAAGTGGTGTATAAGGCCTCCATCTGTCTCACGCTGTACTTTGAGGAGGCTACAAGGAAAACGGCCATCAACAAGGAAAGGCCCTAAGGGTGACCCGTGCTGCTCCCACCCCAACTCACAGTCCCCTCCTCTGTTGGGCCACTGCTTTCTCTATCCCTGGCTTTAATTTAAGGAAGCCCAATGACATCTATGAAGTACAAATAGGTGAAGGAACAATAATGCATTATCTTACTGGAGCTATTTTGAAGGTAGACATTGTATTAACTTGCAAGAAGTGATTTTTCAGCCAGAATTTATTTTCTTCCTCAGACAGTTAACAGCAAGATCCAACTCAGACTAACAACTGGAATAAAGATCTCACTTTAAATACACGGGATGTTTGTTGGTGATAACAACTGGATTACTCACATCACTGCTGATTATCTCAAACTGCAAATTGAAATCGTTCAGAAGTACTTCAATACTTCATGTTCTCTTGTTGGTAGAGGAAAGATCAACTAAATGCGTTAAGAGGAAGTCAGATACAGAAAAGTACTTAGATAAATGCGATCAATGAATGGTGTCTGAGAATACAATTTTGATCCTGAAAACATGAAAAGTATTCCCCAAGCTTACAATTCCAGTTCCAAACTAATATCATGTTTTTCAACTCAAACAGGAACTAACACTACAGTCTCACAAAGAGTCAACTGGAGGAAGTAAATGCAAAATAAATGAGAAGGTTGAAAGCATGCTAATAATGTCAATTTGGGGTGACCTTCACAATGTCTCACCACCAAAGAATCAGCATTCATGAAAGGTTAAGTTCGTTGAGAAGCTACAAGCCAAATAGCCCAAAATTGAAGCATGCATAATCATTAGTTGCTTAGGAAATTCTTGGCAAATGTGTGTACATAAGAACAAAGATACATCTGTGAACAAAAACTTAAGGAACACTTTCTGCAAAACCCTAAATACTATTTCCATCCTAGAGTATAGACATTTACAAGTAATTCTGCCAGTAACCAGTAGTAATTTTAGTACAATGTTTGCTTCCAAGTACTTGAAAGCACCTACTCTTGTGTAATGGACTAGGAATAGTAACTACCATCTTTACTCTGTCTACAGCAATTACTTTTAGGTTTTTTCTCTTGAAGCTAGAAAAATGAAGCACAGACTTGATGAAAGAGACTAAATTTTTCAAAATTATTCTACTTTTAGCATATGGTTTAATTTCAGTTTTTGCCAAGCTAGAACAATATACTTTACAGGAGACAAAATGATGAATGCTTAATTTTGGGTTCAGTTAAAACAAACAACTTTCTCTAAAAGCACATGCTTTGTTTCAAAGTGACATCTGTTAAAAGCCTCAGTATCCATATTATATTACATCACTGTAGGTCAGCTATCATGACTGACACAGTGACATGGGGCAATGAAAGAAGGCAGATTTGCTTTAACCCTCACCACGCCACGTCTCCTGCATGCTCTAATCATACCACAGACTTTTGGCTCCTTTTGTACTGTCTCTAAACCTCTTTGCAACAATCAAGATAGGTAGAGATTTTTGCTTGTTGAGAAAGCAAAGAAACAAAAAATCCCTCCCAAAATTAACCCAAGAAACAATATTTCATTCTGTCTAGCAGAGGCAGGCTTTCTGATGCTGATGTGCCAAAACCCACCATCACTCTCTCATCAGAATACTCAACACAAGTCCCACTCCACTGTCTCAGTGAGGCTTGGAAGTGACATATCCCCTACTTAGAGAACCCCAGCACATTTTACAGGGAAAGGCAACTTTAAAAAGTAAGCTTGTTATTTCTGTGATGAATGTTCCTATGTAATTCTGGGCTTCAGTCATTGCCATTAGCCTTAAAATAAATATTGACAGAGGTCAAAGCTGTTTATGTTTTCGGGGCTGAAATTTGGTGGCTAAATTCACATTTAGGCTTCTAACAAAAATCTGGGAGAGTGTATCGCTTCACCGGGCTATGGGTGTGCAACGCTTCCCCAAAGGGCTTGAGCTAAGCCACTGCCACGGCACTTCCACAAAAACCATACCACAAATGCCAGAGGAGGCTCAACCAGAGAAGTTTATCAAGGAATGGTGTCTCCTTGAAGGCCATGAATAGACTCTACATGAAAGGCCGGGCACATGTTCCAGATTGAAAAGACAATAAAAGAATAACATGCTGGCCTGTCTACCCGAGAAGTGGTTCAGTAACACACAGATCCTACCTGATCTGGTTGGAACCTGGCTTTTCTTCTAGCAGCTGATGTGCTGGCTCTGTCTTCCTTCCCACTCCCTTTCAAAGGAGCTTAAGCCATCTCAGCAACTCATATATGAAAACCAACTGGGATCACTCACCCCACTGCAGTAATTAACCCTTGCTAGGTCTCTGTGGGACCTTCAGACCCCACTGCAACAGCAGATTGAAGGAGACAAAACCTAGTCTTTACTTGGCAGTTTTACTGACAGGATTGCATGGAGGTGAGAGGCTGGGAGAAGAGAGCCAAAAATGATTTTCAAGTACAGTCACAACATTGATAAAAGCCTTAGTGTGGATTTAGTCACCTGAATTAAATTTGTGTAGCTGGTGTCTCCAGCAGGGGTGTGCTGCTAACACAGTTGCAAGCACTTAGCTGCAATCACCAAAATGCTTGTGTACACTGTTAGTGGGTTCCTAGTTACAGGGAATTGATTCCCTAACACCCAAGACCAGATTCTGCTCCATGATTTGGGATTTGAATGTAGATATACATTTTGTGTCAATAAATAGGTGCTATTGAAGCTGTCTAGCTTTAATTACTGAATTTGATGAAGGATGCCTGCTAATCTGTGCTTCAGACATTTAAGTGGTTATTGTCTCCACCTACTTGTTATTCTATTCTGCTGGCAGCTGGGGGAGAGGACACCTTTCAGTCACCTCAGGTCACACCCAGGGATTTTAGTTTACAGAAATAAATACCCAAGGCTGTAAAATACTGTAGTGGAACCTGTATTAGGAGGTTTACTTCTGCAAGTCTCCCATAGTACTTCCAGTAAGAATCACCAGGCTTTAGGAACTCACCAGATATCTATTTATCTAGATGTTTATATGAACCTGATCTTCTCAGCAGCAAAGCATGATGAGCATTCATACATAGTATGGCATCACCTTCAGAATGGTGGCAATAAGCACCTATGTTCATATATTTACTAGAAATAGCACAAGCTGTGCAGGGGCGGGAATTTATGGTCTCCTACGCAGAGGATGAGTAAGGCGGCTTTGAGAAGGAAAAGATACAGGATCTGAAACAGGCAGCAGGACATCTGCAAGCTAAGCTCTTGCTGTTCTTACAAGCCAGGCATTGTAGCAGTGATTACAGCGCTGCCTACTGCCCGGTTACCCCACGCTCCCTCCCAGCCCACAGAGGTGGAGGCTGAAGCCAGCTGCTGGCAAAATCCCACGCTTTCTTCCAAGCCCTCTGTTTATGCCCTTGAAGGGAGCTGCTCCCTGAATACAGCACTCTGTGACAACCTGCCTGTGAAGGAATCGTGACAGCAGTGTTTTGATTTGGGCTTTCTGCAGTGAATGAGTGATAGGAAGATTTTCAGTTCTACCAGACAGACATATGTTCTTATTTTTATCAGTCTTCTGCTTATCAGGGCTTATATAATCTATTTGTGTAGGAACAGGGCAGTTGATAACTACATGCTTTTCCAATACTGTGAATCAGTGTTAAAGAAAAAAACAGAAGAAAGCTTGCTTCAGAGGCAAGCTCAATTTTACAAGCAAATTTTTCCCAAGCAATTCTTCTCCTCCACTTATGACAGCCACTGCCAATGCTTAAAAGCTGCAAAAAGCAAGCTTCCCGTGATGACAGTGCCTCAACGTACTGGGTTACTTCAAACTCATTTACTCAATAATACAATTTCAGTTTATAACAACTAAGAGACTATTTCTCCAACTGACTAGAAACTGATGACAGAAATAAAAGTGAAAACTCTGCAGCTTAATCCTCACTTCCTTTCTGTTTTCCAAACAGCTCTAATGAAGTAATCACAAATATCCTTAAAATTTGTGAAGTACTTCAACAACATTTTAAATGCCCTGAAGATTGTGTCCAGGGTCTGTCTTTATCATTATGATAATCATAAAGGACCTTACTCCTACTCTGTAAGGGTAGGTGAAGGGGTATTGTGGAATGCTGCATCACCTGCTTACAGTGGGATGTGATAAAGAAGGAATTTGGACTTTATACCTTTGCGGTTTAAACTCAAATCGCTAATACTTCCTGTGCAGAAGGCTGTTTTCCTATGCAGTTTAGTAGGTGACAAACTTAGTAGGAAATCATTAAGTAAAAGCAAAGAGTGTTGATAAGGGTTTTATTCTTCTTCCAGGCTTTTGATAATTTGTTTTCAGAAAAGAATATAATCTTTAAGGAATTTAATACTCATCTTCAGCCTCCGTCAAGACTGCTGCAGAATTTCCTGTTTTTGTGTTCTCAGAACTGCTAAACTGCTGAAGTTGCCAGTAAAGACCTGGGTGTGTTATCCAGAAGAGGTGGAGTCTATAGCAAATCCGGATTCTTCACTGTTATTCCCAAATGAGTATACTGCAGCTAGAGCTATTCCATCTTTAACCTCACAAATGGGGTCAGTTCCCACAGCCACAAATCATCTGTGCACTAACCCTTTCTGTTTGTCTTCTGCCGTGCTATCTTTTCTATGTATGAAACCATGGATTTTGTAGCATAAGTCGCCTCAAAGCCTGCTGTAAACATTTACATATAAAAAGATATTAAGGTAGTCTTAAAACATGTTCTAAGTGCTGGGTGCAGAGCCAGCAATGTGAAACACACAAGCCCTGGAAGCAGCTTTGTTACTCCCTCATGTAACAGATCCTGGTCTCATGTGTAAGCAGACTGACCCCTCATCGCCTAAAGTGAAGAATCTTGTACTTACAAGGGGCAAGATCCTAATCAGATTCGCACCGCTCCAGCTTAACACCATGATGAGGGTAGATACAGGCCTAGCATGGTCAACAGGGAGAAAGTCTGTGCTCTCTAGATGCTCTCAGAGGTGTTCAAATGCACTGCGATTGATAAATACATGTCATTCAACAGCACAAATGCTTTCAGCAGACAGGCGGCTCACAGGAACCTCGGAAGATCCTGTTATACAGGAACAAGAGCGTAATTATGACATTTTCAGGCATATATCCTGCAGAAGCTGGGACAGAAACTCCTTGGCAGCCCCCCCGGCTTTAGCTGGTGCAGGAGCAGTGGGTGGAGGAGGCTGCAGGGGCCTGAGAGCATGTGGACGTCATGGGGCATGGAGGTGGGATGCTGCCCACACACACAACAGCCAGCTGCTCTGCCGTCAGCCTTCAGAGCAACGCTTCATGCATGTGGTGAGGTCTCTTGTGCAGCCCCCTAAGTGATTACTTACACTTTGTGGTTATTTTGCAGCCACCAACACACCTCAGCATTCCCACCAGAGAAAAGCCAGGCAGCGTCATGGTGGCCATCATAAACCTACTGTTCCTGAGCACAGACACAGGCCAGGCCCAATATTCGGCACTGCCTCAGTTTCCTTTTGTACCCTAAAATGTGGGAGGAAATGTGGCAGTCCCCCTGCCCGCCCACCCTGGGGACAGGGACAGGAGACTTCAGGCCAGGTGTCAGCTGGACGTAGAGACAGGGCTGGTGGTGGTGATGTGCCTGGTCATGGTAATGGTCCTGGTGAGGGTGATGGGCAGGGAATCCAGCAGGACCCCCTCAAAGACCCACCCTCCACAACGCAGAAGACAAGCAGTGGACAGGGCAGACCAAAAAAACACCAGGATTTTGGTTGTTTTGTTTTTTTTTAGGCAAGGGTCTGTAGACAAAGCTTACACCAAATAAGTGATGGCTGCTAAAGTGCAATTACCTGTTCTGTGAGTGCTGGTAATTAGCTGCTGGTTATGCACACAATTAATGGGCTGAATGTTTAGTACCATAAATCACATTGTTCTAGTGGGGCTGTGCAGTGTAAGAGCCAGCGCAGGCAGTTCTGCCAGGAGTTATCTGCAGAAACCTTCTTGCAGTGCAGCTAAACATCTGGACAGAACAAGTGAGCTCAGATACGCTTTCATGGGAGATCATTTGCTTTCAGGTAATAAAAACCCATGGTACCCAGCGTGCTGCGGAGCTGCTCCATTTTCCATGCTGGGATAGTGAGCCGGGCTCGCCCACCAAGAGCTCATCCTGGAGACAGCCATGGCAGGGAAGCATTTCTTACACAAAACGTAGCTATTTAATCCATTCCCTGGGATTTTTATATTTATGAGACTGCACTAGCTTCTTAAAATTCTTCTGAAATGCCTCATGAAACACACCTTAAGATCATTGAGGCAGCCTGATCTGCTTCAATTCCCCTCAAAAGATCCTATGAATAAACCCAGAGCTTATTTGTTGACAACAGAATCTAAATGCAGTGTATTATTTTGGCCTCTCTTTTCTTTTGTCTTGGATTGCAGCCTCTTCCAGAGCTTTGATTTCCAAATGACTTGTTAATCTTTAC